GCATTTTCTATAGATAGCTTTAAGCCTTTCCAGAAGCTCTGCCGAAGCTGGGAAACTTTCCAAGCCTCTAGGGTGCTATAGATAGCTTTAAGCCTTTCCAGAGGCTCTGCCGAAGCTGGGAAATCCTCCATGGTATTTTGTTCAAAAATGGAAGACCTCTTAGTTATCTTCGGATCCTAGAAGACCTTCAAAGATACTTCATATTATAGAAGTCTGCTGGATTCACATTCTATGAGGATGCCTTCTATGAGTACAAGGCCTAGCGGTCCTCTTTACATAGACGACCTTCTACAAGTCTTCTGAACGTAAAATATCTCCTCGAGGTCTTCCAACTCTATACCCTCGAAGTTATGAGGAGATCTTTTATTTTTATCTGAAATAGTTCCCTCTTAGCATTGTTGTACCATTGAAGACCCAGAAGAGATTCTAGATACCTTCTGGATATGTCGACTTTGCCTTTTCTGGACCTTAAATGCCTTCATATTATAGAAGTCTGCTGGATTCACATTCTATGAGGATGCCTTCTATGTGTACAAAGTCTAGTGGTCATCTTTACATAGACGACCTTCTACAAGTCTTCTGAACGTAAAATATCTCCACGAGGTCTTCCAAATCAACGCCCTCGAAGTTATGCGGAGATCTTTTATTGTACCTAGAAGACGCAGAAGAGATTCTAAATGCGTTCTGGGTATGAAAGGGCTTTTAGAAGTCGACTTAGCCTAAAATACCCTCCAGAAATTTAGTTAAAAGATTTGTTAGTGATATTGTGGACTTAAAATATATGCAGGAAGTCTTCTATTACAATGTGAATTTCTAGAGGTCCTCTAGACGATCTTTCACATGTCTTCTGGACCTTAAATGCCTACTGAAGGTCTTTTGCTTCTGGACCCTTAAAGCCATTCGGAGGTCTTTTGTATCCAAACAAATAATAGCTTGGTGATATTAACACATAGAATATCGTCATAAGGCCTTCTCGACCACTCAAAAATATTTATTCTGAAATTTTCCAGATATCTTCTATGGATTGATTTCTAAATCTCTCATATCTCTTTTAAAGGTTCCTATATATTTAAAAGACCTTCTGAAAGCCACTTCCGACATATATCCATTCACAGCCGTAGAATCTAGAACTTATTTACCTCTGGGAGACATTTGTGCGAATTGTTTTATCAATCAGATCCATTCAAGGTCTTCTAGGTATGATATCGATCCCCTTGAAAATTCTTCTCTACTTTTCTCCAGCCACAAAAAGTGACTGGCAGGCTCTACAGAAGTTTTTGAGACTCCAGAGAGGCGTGTCCAGTTTTTACGTTATATTGCAAGCCTTTGGAGAGGCTGGCGGATTTTTATAGAAAATTTCAGCTCTATAATAGGCTTCGAAATTTCTATAAGCCTTCCTAGAGAGTTGCAGATTTTCTAAAGAATATTTCTATGCCAACCAAATTCTTTATCGATAAAATAAATAATTTCAAAAAACATAAATCTCAAATTTCTTCGAATTCCACAGCGTCACTTCGTTTCATAAATTTCCAATCTCAGTTTGTTTATTGATTTAACCTTGATTCCTCATTACACATACATATACCAATGTATGGGTGTCCATGTGTGTGTGAGTCTGGACTTCATTAAACAACATTTCCCTAAATTAATGCATAATGAATTATTGGAAATCAGTTGGGGAACCAGGGGAAGGAGGCAGGGCACTTCAAATGAATTCCATTCCATTTTAATTGATTTGTTCTTTTGTTTCTTAACGATCCGGGCAATCGGTTGGTTCTACAACTGATGATGGAACTGTTAATTGTAGTGATTTTTGTGTTACTGTGTGTGTGTGTGTGTTTGGTTTCCTCACATTCTCGATATTATTTATGGGTTCTCATTTGGAGACCCCCATCCCCCATCATTCCCGCCTCATTTTTCCCTTCCGAACATTTGCATTCGAATTGTGACAGGCCAGCACCGTTTTCAATGGGCAATAATTTAAATTCATTTAAATAATTTGTGATTTGTATTCATTTAAGATCTAAAGACGACGAAGAAGAAACAGAAAAAAATATCGATCACAATACCCCGACTCAGAATAGATGGCAAAGTATTGAAAATAAAAAAAGAGAGAAATAGAAATTAAATACTGGCACTGCAATAATGAATCTGATTGCTTTCGTTACACCCCATGATAATATGTGGGCTGAGCCATTATCGACTCGATGTGGAGGGTTGGGGTAGGAAGGTGGTGGATAGGGGCATTTGATTTTTAATGGCCTATTTATTTACGTTATTGGCAATCTGATGATGCCGATGATAATAATAATGTAGATGATGCTCATGATGCTACCGAGAATGATGTAGGCCAGCCTTCAATGAAAATTCATAGAAAATAAGTTCAATGCAAAGCTATTTAACCTTTTCTTCCGACTAATTAGTTTCTAATGAATTTTTTGTTGATGGAGAAAAAAACTAGACAAAGAATCACGAAAAAAATGTTCTACACAAAATTAAGTGACAGAGAAGTTTGTGGAAGCCTTAAATGAAGCCTACATTTTCTGTATAAAATCTGCAATTCTTTAGAAGGTTTAATATGTTCTAATAAGAATTCGGAGGCTGTTCAAGCCTCTGAGGAGGCTTACAATTTCTACAGAAATCTTCTAGCCTCTTGGAAATTTAAGCCTCACCAGAGGCTTAGATATTTTCTATAGAAAATTTTAACCCTCACCAGAGGCTTAGATATTTTCTATAGAAAATTTTAAGCCTCCCTGGAGGCTTAGATGTTTTCTATAGAAAATTTTAAGCCTCACAAGAGGCTTAGATGTTTTCTATAGAAAATTTTAAGCCTCCCTGGAGGCTTAGATGTTTTCTATAGAAAATTTGAAGCCTCACCAGAGGCTTAGATATTTTCTATAGAAAATTTGAAGCCTCACCAGAGGCTTAGATATTTTCTATAGAAAATTTGAAGCCTCACCAGAGGCTTAGATATTTTCTATAGAAAATTTGAAGCCTCACCAGAGGCTTAGATATTTTCTATAGAAAATTTGAAGCCTCACCAGAGGCTTAGATATTTTCTATAGAAAATTTGAAGCCTCACCAGAGGCTTAGATATTTTCTATAGAAAATTTGAAGCCTCACCAGAGGCTTAGATATTTTCTATAGAAAATTTGAAGCCTCACCAGAGGCTTAGATATTTTCTATAGAAAATTTTAAGCCTCACCAGAGGCTTAGATATTTTCTATAGAAAATTTTAAGCCTCCATAGAGGCTTAGATATTTTCTATAGAAAATTTTAAGCCTCCATAGAGGCTTAGATATTTTCTATAGAAAATTTTAAGCCTCACCAGAGGCTTAGATATTTTCTATAGAAAATTTTAAGCCTCACCAGAGGCTTAGATATTTTCTATAGAAAATTTTAAGCCTCACCAGAGGCTTAGATATTTTCTATAGAAAATTTTAAGCCTCCGCAGAGGCTTAGATATTTTCTATAGAAAATTTTAAGCCTCACCAGAGGCTTAGATATTTTCTATAGAAAATTTGAAGCCTCACCAGAGGCTTAGATATTTTCTATAGAAAAATTTGAAGCCTCGCCATAGGCTTAGATATTTTCTGTAGAAAATTTAAAGCCTAACCAGAGGCTTTGAGGCTTGCGATTTTTTTTTAGAATATTTTAAGCCTCCTCCGAGGTTTGTAGATTTTTTTCTTTCTCCCTTTTGAGCTGGCATATATAGGTTAATGTTTTTAATAGCTTTTTCTTTCAATTCTTTTTTTATTATTTTTATTCTTCTTGTTGTTGTTGCAACAACCACAAATTCCAATAAATCCTGTTTTAATTCACTTAATATGCATTAACCATATTCTCGCGGCCATAAAAATCCGTGTTTAAAATTCTTTAAATAACTTTAGCACTTTGCCTGTCTACCACTGCTGTGGCTTTAAGTACCGGCTGACAGACTTGGCTCTCCGTCTGTCTTTGGCCAAATAATGATGAGCCACGAAGTAGAAGAAGAAAAAATTGATATGTTGCCAATAATAATAATGTGATATTTGTTTCTGCACGATGAACGAAATGCCTATCAAGGTGGCTAAAGCCAAGTCAGGTTATCAGAAAGCTCATAAATCAGCTGAATAACGTTTTGAGGTTTCAAAGAGGAAAGCCCAAAGGGGCAACAAAAATTAGAGTAATGGTGGCGACTGTATTTATTTTTTTTTTTAATTCGAAATTGGTTACTAAGCGGCTGATAATTTTTTGTTTTTTTTTGTGATTTGTAAGAAATTAAATGAATTGGGCCAATACAAATAGGAGTTATGGGTCTAAGGATAGCGAGGTGACAGGTAGGCCTCTAAGGATGAGCTCAAATAAAAATCTTTGGACCCTTAATGTAATCCAAACCATGAGCTTGTATTTTTATATAATCCTAAGGCCTCTTCCAGCTCTTTTTGTAAATTTTTTCGTTTCCGTATTTGTGGAGGTCCACCTGTATTACTCCCAAGCCAAATGTTTTTGTATTTAAAACGCATATTTCTTGCCCTGCATAAATATTTTGTTGTAATACTAATTGTAATGATTTCTAGACATTATAAAAACCCATTAAAAAATTACCAATCCGACCTCCAACTCTTCTCCCCCCCTAACACCCCATAATACAGTACGTTTCATTCACCTTATAAAACGTGCAAATGAAAATTGACTGCCAGACAGACCAACAGACATATCATAAACTCATCATAAAGGCACAACACAGAGCTCATAATGCTATTCACTTCTGTTTTTCTGTTTTTTGATAACAACCGTTTGATCCATAATAATTACACAGGTCTCTGTAGAACGCACCCACAGTGTTACAACCATCCAACCAGCAAAATGGTAACAAACTACACACGCACGCACCACCTGATACGATAAACATGTGGTGTGTTTGGAATTTTAAATTTTCCAGATTTTTTCGAAAATTCCCAAAAATTTATTTTTTTCAAATTTGTTGTAAATATATCAAAGTTTCGGGGGGTACTTACTTTCAGTTTGGTCCAGTTTTTGGTAGTTACTTGTGGGTCTCCGTGTGTTACCAATTTAACAACGTCACTGGCGTTTAATTTTTTTTGGGGCTTGTTTACCAATTCTTTATGGTTTCTTGGCCGGTGTGTGTTGGGAATATTAATTCGAACTGAAATTAAAGACAAAATAACAACAAATTAGCTATTAATATTTCTGGGGGTTTTTGCGGGTTAAAAATAAATTAAGAAATTTTGTTTAAACAATTATTATTAACATAAATTATGACAGCTATAAAAAAAATTCCCAAGCCACCAAGGGGACATAGAAATTGGTATAAAAAATTCCCAGACCTGTAGAGAGGCTAAAAATGTTCTCTAAGAAATCTCCAAGACTCTCTGGATGCTTAAAATTTTCTATAAAAAATGTCAAAGCCTCTAAGGAGGCCTAAAATGTTCTCAAACATTTGTCAAGGAGATTTAAGAAAATTTAAAAAATCCAAGCCTTTAGAAGAGGTAATTTTTTTTCTATAAAAAAATTCCCAAGCCACTAAGGGGCCATAGAAATTGGTATAAAAAATTCCCAGACCTGTAGAGAGGCTAAAAATGTTCTCTAAGGAATTTCCAAGACCCTCTGGATGCTTCACATTTTCTATAAACAATTTCAAAGGCTCTAAGGAGGCCTAAAAAGCAAATTATCAAGGAGAATTAAGAAAATTAAAAAAAAATCCAAGCCTTTAGAAGAGGTAATTTTTTTCTATTCAGAAGATCTAAGACCTTATGGAAGCTTAAAATGTTTATTAAAAAAAACATCTTACATCTGTATCGAAAAATTCTCCAAGATCTCCCAAGGGTTAAAGAATTCTTAAAAATTATTAAAATTGTTTAAAAATTTCCCAATCCTCACGAAAATCTCAAGCTCTAAGGAGCCTTAAGAAAATTTTCAAACCTCTAAGAAGGCTACATTTTTTTCTGTCGAGAAAATCTAAGACCTTACGGGAGCTTAAAATGTTTCTTTAAAAAAATATTCCAAACTATGGCAAGCTCTAAAAAATACTACATATCAGAGGCTTCCATCTGTATCTAAAAATTCTCCAAGTTCTACCAAGGGTTAAAGAATCTGTAAGAATTTCTAAACATTTCTCAAGAAATTCTCAATCTTTGAGGAGCCTTCAGAAAATACAGTAAACAAATTTCCAAGTCTCAGAGAAGGCTTACATATGTAACTTCAAATTCTCCAACCTCTACCAAGGGTAAAAAAACCCTTAAAAATTATCAGGCCTCTCTAAAGACTTAAGATTTTCTAAAAAAAAAACTTAAACCTTACAGTAACCCGGGAATTTGTTTCTAAAAATTGCTAATTCCCCTTTAAAACTTCAAATTACTTCAAAAAAAAAATGTCCAATCCTTTGTGGAGGCTTAAAATATTCCAAGCTCCAAGGAGGCTCAAATTGCTACATAATAAAAAATACACAAGTATCTAGAGAGGCTTAAAATCTTTTGAACGAATATTCTCAAACTTCAGAGGAGGCTCCCAAAGGCTTTGATAAAATTTTCTACTGCAAGTTGGCTTAAAACCTCCTCCATTTTTTTTCTCTACAAAAATTTACAAGCCTCCCTGGAGGTATAAATTCCTACTCTAAAAATATTCCAAAATTCTGATACTTGATTAATCATTTGAGAATACTCTAAATTTTATATGAACAATTTCTAAGCCTCTGTGAAGGCTCAGGTTTTTCTTCACATAACTCACATGCCTATGTGGAGACTTAAATTTTCCTCTTAATAAAGCCTCCATTCAGTCCAGAATAATTTTATAGAAAATTTTGAAGCCTTTGGGATGGCTTAAAATGTCATGACTTTATGGAGATATTTTTAAAAATTCACAAACTACAAATCAATGTAAAAATATTCCGTCGATAAATTTCAAGAACTCTTTTAAAGGTTTAAAATTACGCCTAAAAATTCCCAATCCTCTGCGGAGGCTCCCATGACTAAAATTGTTATAAAAAATTCTTTAACCTTTCCAGAGGCCCACAATTTTTCATTCTAAATTGCAGAGCCTCATTAGAAACTTTAAATTCCCTCAAAAAAAACCTAACTCACAGGGAGGCTTTATTGTGTGTCAAAAAAAAAAAAAATAATTGAAGAATTCTAAGCCTTTGGAAAGGTATCCATATCTCTATAAAATAATCCCAAGTCTTGAGGATGCTTAAAATTGTATATACAAAATTCCCAAACCTCTGTTAAGGCTGCTGATTTCAATACATAATTCGGAAGTCTCTAGGGAGGCTTCATTAATTCCCCAAACCCAAGACAGGTTTTCAATTACCTCCAATAAATTCCAAAGCCTCTATGATTACCTATAAAAAATATCGCAACTGAAATGTTTCTATAAAAATGTCGTATATCCAACGGAGACTTCAAAAAATGTATTACACATTTTCAAGCCTCTGTGAAGGCTTCAAATGGTCTTTTATAGAGCATTCAAATTAAAAAATTATTTTCCTGAAGCTTAAATTGTTTTAAACATGCTTAGTTCCAAATCCAATCCGTAGGCTTATAATTTTAATAAAAAATCCAACAAAATAAATGTAGTCCTACATTCACAGGCCACAGTGGGGGTTTAGTACTACCCCTAAACTATTTAAATTGTATTTTTTTTCTTAAAAAACTCCCAATCCTCAATAGAGTCTTCAAAATCTCCAGTTACATTTTTCAAGCTCTAATGGAGACTTTAATACTTCAGGGTTTAAACCCCTACTAAAATGTTCACTTCGCCAATGCGGAAGCTTCAAATTATAAGTAAAATATGCCGAAGCCTATGTTGAGGCTTAACACTCTCTCTAAAAAAAAACTCCTGGCTTATATGGACGCTCAAAAAAAATCTCAGGGGCTTTAAGAGTATAAAAATTGGTTTGCCTTAGATATTTCTTTAAAACAAGACAATGAGACACATTTTTGCCGTATCAAAGTGTATATACCCTCATTAGCCATAAGACTGAGGGTATCAAAATACCCAAGCCTCGACGATTTTTTTTTTTTTTTTTTGCTTACAAGGTCGTCGATTTTTAAAATTATTTTTAACGAACCTCGTATGCCCCTTTTTTATGCCACACAAGTGAAACCGAAATTAACACCTATACAGTGTCCAGTGACATTACCAAGTGTTAAACATCACAATAAATAAGTCATACCAAAGAACTCTGTTTCTTTTCTCTCTTTTGAAGGAAGACGACTCACTCCTCTCCCTCTCAGCAATGTGTAAAAAACCAGCCAGCCAACCAACCACCCACCCACCCATTATTGTTGCTTCAACATCCCAAGTTGGAGCTGCAACAAAGGAAGTTTGTCAGCAATAACAACAACATTCAAGGCTACTGTTAACACTTGGCAAGAAATGTTTTTTATTGTTGTTGTTGTTGTTGGCCACTTTTTTCTTCGTGGTAAAAATCATTTTTTTCACTTTTTTCTGGTTGACTTCGCTCGCTCTTTGGAGTGAAAATGGAATATATTCACATAGTATGAACGAAGTTGTACACATATATATGTATGTGTCTGTGTGTATATTTGTATGTTCTTCTTGATATGTTTGGCTGACAGATTTTCGCTGTTTGTCTACCGATTTAAGACATTTATGTTTGTTGTTGATGTTCTTATGCCTCTTTCTTGGCTTGACTGTGTCTTAAGATGGATTTTTTTTATTGTTCTCTGCGTCTCCCAGTAGAACTGTAGGAAGAAAAGTTCGCGGATTTCTTGAAGTGTCTGTCGAGTCCCAGTTGGATTGAGGTTCGGCACATTTTCTGCCTTTTAACAAATTTCTCTTGTTGACCAGCAATTTTGCTGGGCTGCTGGTATTTCTGTTCGCTATGTTCGTTGTGTGTATGTGTGCCACAAAGATAAATGGATTTCCGACGGCAAACAGAAGAGCATTTCATTTCGATGGCACAATGGTATGGCTTTTTGGCATTTGCGTATTTTTATTTACTCCGATATTTTTAAAAGGCATCGAAAGTAGAGTGTGAATGATTTTTGTTGTTGTTGTTTTTTATATGGCTGAATTTCATTGTTTTGATTTGGTTATGGTCACCGTCGAACAAGTTAATGTGAAATCAAGATAAACATCTCGTTTGATTCCAGTTGACAATATTGAAATATCGATGGACAAAAATATAAATATTTTTGTTGGTCCTTCTTTCTTAGGAAAAAAAAAATTGAAAGCAAGGAAGCCGCTTTGTTCTTGGAACCTCCTAATATTGAGATCAAAGACTCTAATATCTAAGCCGCTTATTATGATTATAAGGGTTTTTTTATCCGTCCACCTCATTATAATGAAGACTTTAGAGAGGATTAAAATTTGTTATAGAAAATTCGCAAGCCTCATAAGCTTAAAATTTTCTATGGAAAATTCCCAAGCCCCTGGACAGGCTAAACGTAGAAAATTATTAAGCCTCTAGGGAAGCTAAAAATTGTCTATAAAATGTCTATGCCTCTAGGGTGGTTTAGATTTTCTAAAAAAAAATTCACAAACTTTTAAGGGGCCTTAAAAAGCCTCAGGGGAGGCTTAATATTTTCTATAGAAAATTCCCCTGAGGCTTAAAAATTCCTATAGATACTTCCCAAGCCTCAGGAGAGGCTTAGAATTGCCTATAGAAAATTCCCAAGACTCAAATTTCCCAAGCCTCATGGATGGCTATAGAAAATTCTCAAGCCCTCGATTAAGCTAAACTTTTCTATAGATAGTTCCCAAGTCTCCGGGGAGACTTAATTTTTTTATAGTAAATTTCCAAGCCTCAGGGTAGGCTTAAAAATTTTTATAGAAAATTTCCAAGCCTAAGAAGAGAATATGGAAAATTGTCAAGCCTCAAAGAAGGTTTAAAATATTCTTTAGAATATTCTCAATCTCCGGGAGATGCCTAAAAATTTCCATAGAAAATTCCTAAACCTCTGGGGAAGCCTCAACATCTCTACAGAATATCCCCGTTTTTTTCCTAAAACTCTGTTTTTTCATTCAATGACGAATTTTACATAGTTTATATAATGGAAGCAAAAAAAGGCAAAAAAAAAAAAAAAATCACAAGTCACACGCACAA